AGTAGGAAACTGATTTGACAGGATAATGATGACAATTGAATTTGGCTATTTGCTACCCTTTCTTAACATCCCATAAATGAATAGAACCATTTCCACTACCAGAAGCTAATGTAGTTCCACCAGGTGAGAAGCATACTGATAGCACAATATTGTCAACGATTTTAACTATTTATTATCCTGTTTTAACATCCCATAAACAGATAGATTTATCTGCACTGCCAGATGCTAAAGTAGTTCCATTGGGTGAAAAGTATACTGAATCGACCCATAGAATATGTCCTTCTAATTTACTTTTTTTTTTCTGGTCTTAACATCCCATAAACGAATTGATTTATCTTCACTACCAGATGCTAAAGTAGTTCCATTAGGAGAGAATTTTACTGAATACACAACACCAGTATGATTAACCAATTAAATTTGTTATTTTCCTGTCTTCACATTCCATAAACGGATTGAATTATCATAACTACCAGATGCTATTGTAGTACCATCAGGAGAGAAACATAGTGATTTTATTTAATTAGTATGGCCAACTAATTTATGTAGCTCATCGATTCTTAGGTTTTTCCATTTACAATTAAATAGTTAAGCTCCATTTAAGTTCACTCCACTAATATCTACATTATTAAATACTGATCCAATCAAATTACTTCTTGAAAAATTACCTCCAATCAAAGAGGTATTCTAAATCTATATTTTTTCAAAACATTAGTTTCTTAAATCAACCTTCATTTACACTAATAAATTTAATGAATTTGATCCACATTATTTGAATCTAAAATCTATAGCTGTGAGTTGAACTAAAGATTATAAAAATTAGATTATCCTTTCTTCGTCTTTTATTTTTTTTATTAAATTATGTCTTTCTTCAAAATAGATTTCAGTGAAATAATCATTTTTATTAAAGTTATGATCCTTTAGTTATTTCAAAACAGTCCTCATTATATTCATATTATTTATTGCCACACTTAACTTCTTTTTTTAATCAACTATTGGTAAATTAATTATTTATAAAATGTACTCTATAGAATTTTAAACATTTTCATCATTTGAAAGAAATTCTAAATAGTCAGAAATTTTATATTTTCTAAGCATTTAAAATATCACCCTCTATATTTAGTCATCAAAATCTTTTGATGAAG